GAAAAATTGACTAAGGAGAAAAAATCAATGTCCATAAAGAACAACCACGCACCTTATTATTAGGCCAGAGGCCAAGTTCTCGAAAATACAAAATACCATATTATAAGGAAACCGCGCTCAAACCGCCACCCCCATCAAAACCGCAGCTCACCAGGAACAAGAAATGGTGGTCGTAATGAAGTGGCGATGGTGAGAGCAAACAAAAAGATTTGTGGAAGTAGAATGGGGGAAAAATCAGGAGACAAGGATCATGGAAGATATTGTGAGTTCCACGAGTCTATAGGACATGACACCATCGAGTGTACTACACTATGTCGAGAATTAGAGAAACAGATGAACTCATGACAACTAACTGACCTGATTAAAGGCCTCATATCAAAACACTTGGAGAGCCTAGAACACGCCAAACCAAAATTGAAAAACTCAAGAAAAAACGAAATATTCATGTTAAGATGGGCCGACCAACTGGAATCAAATGGCAACTGAGGAGACTACACATTCACGTTTGATGAGTGGCACTATAACCACAACAATCATAAATAAGATGAATTAATTATAATTGGACGGTTCATGGGTAATAAATACGTTAATGACATCTATGTGGACAGTAGGAGCTCCAGTAATGTCATGTATAAGCATTTTTACAAAGAACTACAAGGGTGTGTGCAAAAAAAGTCGAACCACCAGATCAACTTTGTCGGTCATAATGTGTGGCCAGAAGGCACTATCATGCTACCACTAACCCTAATTGATCAAAATAACGACAAAAATAACACCATGCTCATACACTTTGTTGTCATAAACACATCATCACCACACGACATAAATTATAGGAGGACAAAAATGTATAACTTTAAATCCATATCGTCAACAATCCACAGTGTGGTCAAGTTCCACACAATGATGAGAGTGCGTGCAATACCAACTAAAAGGAGATTAGGGAAGTCAGAACAAACTCAAAATAGAAACAATGTCAACAACAACCTCAATGCTCTTAGTGCTCTGAAAGAAAAAAGAATACCAGTAATGAAAGAGAAAAATTACATTGGCTAAAACAATCATACCAAGAACCCGACGTATAACATTAGCAACTTCGATGAAAACAAGTGTTTGGCACAAGCACTACAATTGTTGGCAAAAAGAGTGATAGCTTATTTTATTTCCTTATTTTTATTAGTTTGTTTTAGATTTTTAGCTCTTTTTAATTAGTTTTTGCATTATATATTCTTTATTTTCATTATCATGGACCGTATCGAGGACTTTTTATTTTGCCTAAGAAAATTTGCAGGATTTTGGAGCTTATTGCGGTTGCGGATTGATTGGAGTTAGGCTTAGTGAGATTTCCGATGCATTATTGGGCTTGGCGGATCCACCAAAGAAGAATTGGGCTTAAAAAAGCTAAAGGCTTGGATGAAGTGGGCTTGTGAAGATGGACCTTGGACTTTTATTTTGTGCTTGGAGCATGCATTTTGGTAGCTAAATGATGATTGGTTGGTTTGAATCACATGGATATGGAGGGGACCAAAGGAATCTTTGGTAGTGGAATGGTGGAGTGGAGGAATGAGGAGCCAATAGCATTACAACAACACTTGTGCGAGTGGAATCTCCGTCGGGCGGGTACCCGCACAACTGCCTAGTTTGGGCAGTTTGGTCATTTGGCACACCATAACCTTGGGGATCAGATCTATCAGCCACATTCTCGATTTTTCACCATTGGAGACCTATAGGAGGCAATTTTGGAGCTTGAAGACTCATTTCTTTTCATCTTTCCAAGATATTGGTAGTTTCTTTATGCACTCAGACTTTTGTGATTGTTTTTCTATTGCCATAAGTGGCTAAACTCTCTATTTTGGTAGTCCTTGGCTAAAACCTCTGAATGTTTGTGGGGTTTTGAAGGATTTATGCTTATTTATCATTTATCTCATGTCTATGATTCTAGTTCATAATTTATATGCTTGTTTAGTGCTTTGATCATGAGGTTGGTACTTTAATAAGCAATTGTTGGTTTATTTCTTTGGTTTAGCACTGAATAATTGAATTTACTTAGAGTAAGAGCTTTATGATGGTAGAAATCATCTCTAGTTTATGAATCATAACTCCTTTATGGATATGTAAGCATTGACATCCTCTAGGAATTGGGGATTTCTTCATTCTTAAGGTTAATCAACTTCTTGGGTTCAATTGCTTCAATTAGATCTTTGATTTTGATTAAGAAGGTGTGTTGTGGGCTTCCTCAACCTCCATACTACCTATGAGAAATCTTGACATATCATGCTTCATGATTGCTGTAACCAATTTGGGATGAATGATAAGCTTCATGTTAAATCCTAATGATAAAAACACAAATGTTCATTGTATTGAATTGCCTTGGTTTACCAATTCTCTTCAATATTTGAGCATCTCACTTTCTTACTTAATTGCAAGTTTTTAGTTATTCAAGTCTTTTAGTTTTCAAGCAATCATAACACCCCCCTTTTAGTTTAATTGTAGTTAGTTAGTTTATTTACAATAGTTCTTTTAGATTGCATTGGTGATTGAATACAACCATTTCCCCGAGGATCGATACCCCTTTTTACCATTATATTACGTTTTATTTGCAAACAAAGGGTGTAATTTTCTTGGTGGACTTGACATCCCACCAAAGAGCGACGTGAAATCTCATGAAGAGTGACACATCTGTGATTGTGAAAAAATTTAAATGGATAATCAACATTACACCAACTACCACTGAGGGACTAGAAAGCAATGAAAAGCAAGGTTAGGTTGTGGGGATACGCACCAAAGAAGTACCCCAATTCACTGAGTAAGACAATGCCAAGAAAATTTGGAAGTAAAGATAAGGAAAAATCGTACAAAGGATGGCAAAGAATGTCACAACGAAATCAAAGGCCAATAATGAAAATCTTAATAAAAGTATACAAAGGCAGTAAAACTCAAACAACCAAGGCCCGTAGCGAAGGTGTAAAAAGGAAGTGAAAAGCAACCGAATTGTTATAGTAGGGAATTATATAGAAACGAACGGGAAGAACGGAAATAATGAGATCCTAGATCAAGATGACAGAGAAGAAAAAGAAAGAATAAGAAGATAACTCATTCAACATCACCAGGAACAACCAGGGGAAGCAAGAAAACTAACCTACAAAGAGCATGTATGTAGGAAGAATGATGGAAACCAAGACTTCTAATTATGAATAAATAAAATAGATGAATGGAGAATTTGACTAATCACAAATAATACACTTATTATTAATATGTAGCTCGGTCAGCTGACTACACTCATACAATGGTCAAATATTATATTTCGATCGCGGCTACCCGCTTAGCCAAAGAATACAGTTATTCTTAACATGTAGCTTGGTCAACTGACAACAATCTTATAATGGTCATATATCATATTTCGACCAAGGCTACATGCTTAGCCAAAGAATGCACTTATTCTTATTATGTAGTGCGATCAGCCAACTACACTCATATAATGGTCAAATATTATACTACAACCATACCTGCTTAGCTAAAGAATACACTTATTCTTAATGTGTAGCTTAGTCAGCCGACTACACTCATATAAGGGTCAAATATCATATTTCGATCAAGGCTACCTGCTTAGACAAAGAATATACTTATTCTTAACATGTAGCTCACTCAACCGACTACAATCATATAGTGGTCAAATGTCATATTTCGACTAAGGCTACCTGCTTAGCCAAAGAATACACTTATTCTTAATATGTAGCTCTACACTCATATAATGGCCATATATCATATTTCTACCAAGGATACCTGCTTAACTAAAGAGTACACTTATTCTTAACATGTATCTCAGACAGCCGACTACATCCATATAATGGCAAAATACCATACTACGAAATCTGGATACTCACTTAACCTAAGAGTATATTTATTTTTCACTTACAGTGCGGTTAACTGATTATAACGTGGGTAAGTTATGGGGTACTGATTTGTACACAACACTTTTTCTCCGCACACAACACTTTGTGCTTTAAAGTGTTGTATTGTACAACTCTATAATGCATAAATTGTTGTGTATGGTAAAAAATTGTTGTGTACGAATCACTTCCCTAAGTTATGTGGTCAGTTTGACTTATCCAGTCAGATGGAACAATAGGAAGGAGAGTTTGTTAGGATGAAGTCATAAATTTCCATAACGATAACAGTTCCCAACATGAAAAACTTCACAAAGATAACAATAGTACTACCGCAGAAACAATAATATATCACAAAAACAAGTAGCATTCATTACAAAAGAGAAGCTAAAGACACGACCAAATAAGATTACAAGCAGTCAAGTAAACTACACCAACACATAGCAAAAATATTCTAGCATACACATAATGCCACAAAAGAAAAAGGATCAAATTAACACTTAAACCTCACCCCACTTCCACCACTAGCAGATGCTCTACCATCGCCAAAATTAGACACTGTATCTCCTAACTGCTCCACAATACTCAACAAAAAACCCAATTTGGAATGATAGTTACCACAAAACATGGCGAAAAATGCCTCCTCTATCTTCCAAAAACGAGTAGGATCGTAAAGTGGTATGTCAGCAGCAGTAACCTTAGACCATGCTCCACTTTCATCATTTCACAACCCTTTTTCCTGCCATAATCAACACAAATAGTTTGCAAATCCTAGTTAGGTTCATAAACAGAGGAGTATGTAAAAAGTTTATCCACCATTTTTGCTATGCTACTAGATAAAACCCATTCCATATCTTCATTTAACTGACGAACACGGCCCTTCGGTCTAACCACATTCGCCTATAAATTGGCATTCTTCAAAATAGAATCATTCAAGTCAATTTTCATATTTCGAACACCCTGTTCCAACATAGCAATCTTATCAAACAAACCAATATTTTCCAACTCAAGAGATGCAATTGCACCCTTTAACACATAAAGCTCCTCCTACAAGTTCCGACACCCTACTAACTTGCTCTCTATAGAACAACCTTATCACCCTATAACACCACCAACTCACTCTTCACTTTTTTCCAAATTAATCTTCAGAACCATCCCGACACCCGAAGAAAGTTTCTCTAACTCAGCAACCTTCCCAATTAGATTCACATACTGATCGCGAAAAACTTGCACATTACGAGAAACCCCCCCTGAAAAAGAAACATACGACTTGACAAGATCCGATACCCTATTAAATTCGTCTCGTAGGGCACAGTTTTCTCGATGAAATGTTTCATTCTCATGCAGCCATGAAATAACTTCGTGACGTAACATCATATGCTCAACAAGCTTAATTTTGAACATATCCCGTGTATGCTCCTTAGTCCTCGCCCAACATCTAACCGAGTACCAGGAGAAGCGGAATTCTCAGAGAAAGAAATAGGCACCTTCGGTTGCAACAATGACTCGTCTCGCCTATATTCCTAAAGGATTAGGAACATTAGCATCTCGAGTAGGGCAACTTGTTTTCAACTGCTCAATATAGGCTGAGGGCTAATCAACACCTAGACTATTGGAGAATAACCAAAAAGAACCTCGATCCAAAGACTAATATCTTTTTACAACCTCCCACCACTACTACATTCTCCAACAGACAAAACGACAACAAAAGCAACAAAAGCAATCAAACCTCTATATATCTTACGATAAATTAAAGACACTTCTTTGTTTCCAACCTCATCACCATCCTCAGAAACCAAAATAGGAGTAGAAGAAGCATTTGGAGTTTGCTCACCAACGTCATCGTCATAAGAATCATGGGCTTTAATTTGCGATACCATTACTTCATCATTTCTCGAGTTAATACCCTCACTCCCACTATCATTCATACTATCATCATATAAAGGCAAGTCAAAGTCGCCAAACCCAAGGTCACGAGCTGAAATCTTGCCCTCAACAAAGTCAAGTAAGATAAAAGGTAACCAGGCTCAATCTACAACAAATAAACCCAAAGATAATTAACATAGATAAACAAAGGACCAATAATAAAGCAAATAGGTACCTGGTCATCGAACGAACAACAAAGGTACTGCACCCATGCACAACCAATACATGCTCATACCGACTTGCCCCAGCACAACCTATGGGCATTTCTTCATCATAACATTCAAACGAGATATCTTATCTATATCTTGTGACAAATCGGGAATCCTATTAGGTTTTTAGTTAATAATGGTACCATGACGATGGAAACATTACGATTTGGGCTTAGGAAGACCATCGATAAAACTAAGCCCCCTCAAGAAAAAATTATACCATGCACCATTACTACATATAAAAAAGAAATATTGAAACAAATCGACAATAGGAACAACAAGTGCAACATGACACAGTAACTCAAAGCAGACAATTTTTAAGATAGAATTAGATTTCAACTGATAAGTTTGAATATGATATACCTCAACAATACTTCTAGAAAATGGAGCATAGGGAACGCGAAGACCGACCTCAAAATAATAAAGGTAAAAACAAATATTACCCACAGGAGGACGATCAATAATTAACCATCGTAGACCTACGAATAACGACACAATTTTCCTCGATGAGATCATACTTTGAGGAAATCTGATCAAGAAGCTCATGAGTAACAGTAGATCTAAGTACATGCATCATCAGATGAGCCATAGTTATGTCTTTGCAAGAGAAGATCGAGATAAATAAGGACAAAAGGAATAAGAAGGGATGAGATAAATGAAAAAACTGATATGTGTGATGATTGATTGATTGTGATCTCACCAATTCTTCTCTCTAGGCCCGGTCATCTCCAATGCATTGAACTCTTAAGAGTTCAATGGATTGCCACATCAGTATTCCACTAACCATACCATTTAACACATTAAACTCTACACTCCATTAAACTATTAAAAGTTCAATGGATTGCCACATCATCATTTTATTTTTTATAAATAAAACTAAAATATTACATTAATTAGAAATTCAAAATTACAATTATAAAATATTAATTTAAAAATTAAAAGTTACGAATAATACATTAAATAAGATGTTATCTTTTTAAAATATTTTTATGATTTATATATTTTTTTATTCTTTAGAATAAAAAATATAAAGTAACTTAATAAACTAAATTATTGAAGATAAAATAAAATAAAGATAAATAAAAAAAAATAATAATATATAATATGTTTGTTGAAAAAAAAAGTGTTATTTTCACTAGAAATTGTTATATTAAATTGAAAAAAAAAAAAAAAAAGCATTACACGGTTCAATGGGGATTGAACTCCCCATTCAATAAACTCAAGCTACATTGCATTTTTACTCTATTGAGTGTCACATCACTACTTTTTATCCCATTAAACTCTTCATAGAATCCCCATTGGGGATAACCTAATGGGTAATCCGGACAGTCGCAAGGGTTATGTTTTAAGGGCCAAAAATTTCTTTTATATATATATATATATATATATATATATATATATATATATATATATATATATATATATATATATATATATATATATATATATAGGGTAAAATGAATATACCTAACAACCTTATATAAGCTTAGGTACCTAACTCTATAATATTACATCGGTTTGTATCATATTTACATTGTAATTGCCTAAGGTTCTTAAACTTCAACCCCATAACTTGATTATTTCCAAAATCTTTGTACTTTCACCAATATCTTTCTTTTACATCATGTCTTTCTATCGAATACTACCTGATGGGCTTCATATCCTACCACTACAAACGAAAGGATATAGGAGAAATATAATCATGAATTTCCAATTTTTTTTTGAAGTAAATCAAGTTTAGGGATGAAGTTTAAGAACCTTGGATGATTGCAATAAAAATTTAATGCAAAATAACGTTGTTTGATGAGGTTAGGTACCTAAGCTTATATAAGGTTGTTAGGTATATTCACTTTACCCTATATATATATATATATATATATATATATATATATATATATATATATATATATATATATATATATATATATATGCAAGTTATAAACAAAATTCCAACAACAGACGATTTCAAACAATGGAACCAATGAATCAATCTCATCTATTGATTTTCATCACTTAGGGTGGACTTGCATGTGTCGGATCATAATAAAAATCCATTTCTTTTTTTATTTTGATTTTACTTTTATGACTATTTTTTATCGAAAAAAAAAACAAATATACTGATATTATAATTTTGTATCCTCTTCGCGAAGACATCCATATTGAAATACAAAAAAAACTTTCAACAAAAAATCCACGTCATTTTAATAGTTTTTTTAAATATTTAGGCTTATTTTTATCGAAAAAGTAATATATATATATATATATATATATATATATATATATATATATATATTCGTATTTGTAGTACTCTTTATATAGACATTTATATGGATTTCAAAAATCAAAATTTAGCTTAGATTCACGTTGTGAATGCTGAAAACCGATATATATATATATATATATATATATATATATATATATATATATATATATATATATATATATATATATATATATATATATATATATTAGATTCATAGTACAATTAATAGTAAGTTACATTCACATTGTGAATGATGAAAACTAAATTATATATATATATATATATATATATATATATATATATATATATATATATATATATATATATATATTAGATTAATGTTGTGAATAAATTCATTTGCGAACTTTACAAAACTACTGTAACAACGTAAATTTTTCCAACCAAAATTTCATTTTTAAGTTAATGTAAAACACATATCACATTTTTCCAAAAATCTCAACTAAAAATTATCCACAAAATTTTCAAAACATTTATTCAAAATCCCATGTCACCACTCCTTCTCGATGCAGGTGTACAATTATGTCGGTGCCTTTCCGCGGTTCTCGGAAGTACCTGAAACACATAACACATAACATGGTAAGCATAAATGCTTAGTGAGTTCCCTAAAATACCACACACAGCTCATTAGCCACTTGAGGCTGTAACTCAATAAGACCCTCTAGTCAATGTGTCTCAGTAGGACCCTCCGGTCCCATAACTCAGGTTGGATCCTCTGATCCCTCTAGTCAATACACAAATAAACATAGCATAAACATCACAACAAATAATATAATATCTCAATACAATTAACATGATATCTTAAACACAAAGTATACACATAAGACCATCCGGTCACACATAGGTTACCACTCAAGGTATGTATAGTGAGAAGACTCACCTCGTGACTAGTAGGAAATAGATACACACTTGACAATCTGACTAGCCTTCACCTAAGAAATTAAACGAACATCTCAACTAATAACACATTTTTACTCTTTCCAACTATAGCCCTTTTTGCTCATTCTCTAACCCTTGGGATGGGTAAAAGACCCTTCTACCCCTCCAGATTTCCCAAAAAGTTCCTAACTGACCCACACATGAAGTCAACAGATCAGGTTGACCTGACTCGTCACCCACGTGACTCGTTGGGTACAAACGTATTTCTCACTATTCTCATCGGGATTCACTCAGCTCATCGAGTTGATCCCCAACTCGACGAGTTATCTTTGGGTCCATGGTACTAGGTCGAACCCAATCTGACTCGTCGAGTCATCTCATAGACTCGACGAGTCGTCTCAATTGCTTCACTCATATGGTCTCCTGAGTTCAGATCGGGAACTCTAGCTCATAGATCTGGCCTTCTAGCATCCAAAAGTCACGTAAAGGTCTGAACTTGGGGTTCATGCATGGTGTATATTGCTCTATATACCATTATGACTCCATTAAAGTTTCATAGCTTCAAAGCTCCAAGGTTACTCAGTTATGGCTTTCTACTTTCTGGTTCTCCAGACCTCACAAGGTCCAGATATATAGAATAACTCAAAAAGGGTTTGGATGTACCCAAAACCCCATCAAAATGGCGATACAAGCCCTAACTTTACAACCAAAGGAAATCTAATCAATCACAAGGAAGGCAAGAGCTTATATTAAATCTGAAACTTGAAATGAAGATGAAACTGATCTACAAACTCTCCTCTGAGATCCTTGCAACACCCTTGATCTTCTTCTCAAAGAAATGACCTCAAATTAGCCTCTTTCCCTTTCTTGCTCACAAATGACTCTAGGGTTTCTCTCAAGGGACGAATGACACTGATGTGGGTGTCAAGGAGGCTGTAAGTGTCTTTAAATAGGCCCATGCCCGAGAAAATTAGGGTTTCTGTATCCAGCGCTGACCCGTCGAGTCGGCGATTCGGCTCGTCGAGCCCACTCATTAATCCTAGTCATCAGCTGCGACCCTACACGACGAATTGAGGCGCTAACTCGTCGAGTCCATCCACAATTCTCAACTTAAACTATTAAAATAATATACCTGGAAAACTGGATGTTACAACTACCTTTAAAAAATATCACTTCGTTTTGTTGTTTTTTAAATAGCTTGGTTTATTTTTTGTCAGAAAAACAAAATACATATATCAAAAATCATAGTTTTGTGTATTGTTTAACTAGATATACATGTTGATGTATAAAAAACATTTTTTTAAATTTTTTTTAGCTCATATTCATGTTATGAATGGTGAAAAAAATAGAGTTTAGCTTCATTGTATGACTAATAGTAAGTCAGATTCACATTGTGAATCTTGAAAATTGAATTATATAAAGGTCATATTCATAGTGTGAATCAATTCACATGTGAATTTTACAAAACCAATTAATCAAAACGTTAAAACATTATAAAATTAGAAGGAAACATACTTCAATTTATATGTAAATTTCATAAAATCAATTTGTGAACAATCAAAGTGTTGAAATAGTAATTCAGATTCACATTATAAATGTTAATAATAAAATTATATATATATATATATATATATATATAGTGAAGATTCACAATGTGAATCTGTTGATAGTGTGAATCTAACTAGCAAAGTAAAAAAAAAAAGAAAAACCTAATATTTTTATATCAATATTACTTTTTCTTTTTAAAGAGGACAAAAATTATGAATTTTTATAGTTTTATTTTATTTTTTGATAAAAAATAAGCCTAAATACGTTTAAAAAAAAAAAAAAGAACTAACAAAATGAAGTGAATTTTTTGTTAAAAAAATGGTTCATTTTTTGTATATCAATATAGA